ATCATGAACCACTTCGAAACGCAGATGCTAGACCATAAAGTAGAGTGAAGGAAAAAGTGGAAGAGGCTATATATGTCTCTTAAAACTGTTATTCAGTTTGTGCTGACTAACGGGCAGCTAGTGACAGCCGAAAGACTATTTTTATCTACTTACGTACACACGGATACCTGGCGGCAACGCCCCTGTGAAAATTTGCTCATAGGCTCATGCTGGCAACGACGATACACTTGAGAAACAGCACACCATGTGAAATCAGCAGGTGAAGTATTCCATGTGAAAGAAAAAATCGATCACTTAACGACTACCATCATCATAGCGCAGCATACGCCTGCACAAAATTGCAGGGTTCGTTGGTCTGATTACCATTGGTCGAATCTGTTCAGAAACCTTGAGCTCGACATCCAAATTTAGGTTGCTCAGTTCCAAACCAAAACGAAATTCTCGCTGAGTTGATTTCCGTCATCGGATGCCCTGTACACAAGCGAGCCTACTTCAGGTCAAACTTCCGCAGGTATTTGTGATTGATGAGGAACATACTTACCCACTTTGGTCACCTGTTTCTCGGCGGATTCTACTTTGGCCTGATGCACCTGAACACTTTTCTCCAGTTTCTAGAAAAAAAAAGTAAAAGTAATACAGAATTGACTAACTGTAAAGTCAAAGTACATACATATTAGCATGATTAAAAATATTAAAGCAGGAAAAGAGCAGACAGTAGTTTACGCAATCTAACAACCCTCTTATCATCTTTTCCACGCAGCCCGCTAGAGGTCAGGAAAATGCAAACAAAGTTCGTGGTATTGCAGTTTTGTGCACTCCAATGTGAGCTATTCGAAAAAAACCTGGTCCAGGGTAATCACCCCAAAGTAGGAAAACTCTGGGGTGTTAAGTTACGCAATTTATTTATTTTAGCCCCAACGTATAAAAAAAGCTACACTAGACCCAGATAGGGAAAGCGCATCGAGGCGGATAAAAATAGCTTATAGTATATTGTCTGTTAGAAGGAACCTTCGCATACTTTTATTATTGAAACTCAAACGTGTGGTTCAATTACGTTTTTTTGAAAACACATATTTTAGGTGGGTATCGTCTTACTTTAAACGATTATTTGAAAACATTGGAGCGCGTTTCTGAAACAAGATTCTGATGTGTAGAATCCAAAAAACTACTCAAATTATCAGGCGAGATAAGCGGATTTATAAGAGATTGTTCTCTTAAAAAAGCCTTTAGCCTTTATCATTCGCAACTTTATGGAAATCAGCTGTCGTGAGGGAGGTAGGCACGTGACGTCCAGAGCCTATTCAAAGAAATCGTTCCTTTACTCAATTTAGAAACAGGTTTTGATAGCACACTTAATCAGAAGGTGTCTGTTGAACACTACAGTAGATGCCCTATCTCATGAAATCCAACGATTTTTACAAGTAACTCCCTCTTACTCAATCGCAGCCCAAGCTGTGGCCTCCAAAGTGTTACAGCAATAAAGTAATGGTTGTTCTTCACAATAGGATATATTGTGATTTATGAAGGAATGTAACGTTTTATAGAAACACCAGCTTTTTTAAAAAAGTGGAAAATTCCGAAAA